AACAAGTAAAGGGAGAAAAAAAACAGCCATTGTGATGTTTTATACCACAAAGTTTCTGACCATTAGCTGTGTTTTTATTGCGTGTGGTGTAGACTGTTGTGTCCTCAAGACATCCTGTAAACCCCACGGGTTTATTGCACCCGTGGGGTGAAGAGTGATATATACTGACTGCATATTTTACTGTATTTTTTTTTTTTAAAGATAAGTGTTTAACCGTTTCTCTGCGATCAATATATTTTTTTCAACTTCTGAATGTGATCAGTCACATCATACCATGTGGACAGGGAACATGCGATCTTCAGGATTCTTGCCTGGATATCACAGAAGTACTTTCTGCTCCGCAAAGAGGGCAGATTACAGGGTTCACTAAGGAGCGAAATCCAGAAATTGGGAGTGATTTAGTACCTTGCTCAAGGGCACTTCAGGAAGTGGTAAAGTATGACCAAAAACTGAACTATAAGAACTGTCGGCTTGTTCGGTGCAAGAAAAATGCCACATCGGGCTGGTAAATCTAGCAAATCCCTATCCCGATTGGGCAAGGTTTGAATACATAGGTTTTGGAGTGAGCCTTCTTAAATATTGTTTATATACTTAAATAAATAAAACTTGAAACGGCAAAGATAAAGTTTATGAGCCTTTTGGGTGGCATTAGAGAGGATGTGGGCAAAACTCGAACTATGTTTTTGCACCATTTGTTGCAGGTTTGAGAGAAAGGCGGATAATTAACTTAATTCGTTGTTGTTATTTAATAACCACTAATAACTTGTAATCAGAAAGTTTAAAGCTTTAATGATTCAATTACAGAATGCAACTTGAGCTGATAGAAGCTTCAGACTCCGAGGATAAAACATAAAACCGATTAACTGTGGTTTGAAACAAAAGCCGTCCACAAGCGTATGCTTCGGGGAGAAAAGGTACACGTGTGAAGAAGTGTGAATGGAAAGAGTGGGACTCTAGTTACAACAAGCGGTACTCGAGAGTATGTGCGCTCATGTCAGCACATGCACAGCGTTGCTGCTGTACCAGCTGAGGTGCAGCTGTGTTTGGAGTCGGCTCTTCTGTCCGACACGGATGCGACTCTGGGCATGAAAGTGCAACGCTGCTGCAGCCACAGAGCGCTGCGTATTGTGAGGAGACATTAGTGTGTGTGTGTGTGTGTGTCAAAGGCGAGTGTGGAGTAAAAATATTTGATCCCCCTTTAAGACTTTGATCCATCTCTGCCTTCTTAATTCCTAATTTGCATTAAAGCACGAATCACACAGATCTGAGGTTAAAGAAAAATATGGTTCTAATCAATGCCTGCATTGATTATTGTAAGAGTGAAATATGGTGATGGTAATATAATTGTTATTCTCTGTGTATACATTAGGCGTAGCTGTACTAATATCCTAGGCTCAGGTATGTAGGTACTGAGATCACTGTTGTCAGGTATTTGATCCCAGAAGGGCAAAGGGTTTTGACCGGGCTCCTTAACCATTATATTCTATTAATATAATAATACAAACTGCCATTAGCTGCAAATAGAAAGAAGAAAAAAAGAACCTTGAATTCAGGCTTGGGGTTGAGGCCACACTGTGTACCAATATTTTTGGCATATTTAGCTCATTTATTATAAATCATATACACTTCACACATGACTGCATACCATTTTCCAAAGCATACTACAACAAAACAAAATAAAAACATTATCCTTGTGTTGAAGTGTAGATGTGAACGCAATTTAAAAAGCCGAATCATCAGAAATGTAACTTTTGCAACAAATAAATGCAGAACATGCAGATGTTCACATATAACAATCACCTGGTTTATTGTAATGCTTTGGGTAAATGGATGGAAACCAATGGCTGCCGGGAAGGTAGTAAAATCATGAAACACTAAAGCATGATTATCTCTGCAAAGGAGGTTATGATTTCGGTTCGATTTGTTGGTCTGTTTGTCAGCATGATTACAGATAAACTACTCGCCCGATTGTCATGAAACTTGGGCGGAAGTGTGTCGCCTATTACATTTTGGAGTGCATTGGATTTGGCAAAGCTCTGCTCCATAGAAACAGATTAAGAGTCATGCTGACATTGAACCGTTTTCCGTTGTCATTTGACAAGTACAAAAGAAAATGGTGATTCCCAGCGTCTGTATCCAATGAAGCTATTGTAACAGTAGATTATACCCACAGAAAAACAAAGAAAATGGTCAGACGATCTTGTTGATGGGCCATATCCCATTTCTTGGAGTAGCAAACCCATCGTATTGACATTACACAAAGGCTTGCAAATTGCAAAATTGAAAAGTCAAATGGTGAACAACATGACTTGTGCAACTGTATACACAGATTGAAAGTGAAAAGTTGAGGAAGCTGGGCAGTGAAAGTCAAACGTGGCCGTGAAAGTGTCATGAGGCCCCCCCCCCCCACTGAACTGAGAACCAGAGTCAGGTTCAGAGTGCTCACCTCTCTGACCTCTATACCGGCCCAAGTCACACCTCACTGCATAGCCACCGATTGACAGCCTGCCGGCCGGCACTCCATGTGTGCCGATGTGCTTGAGGAGGGGGCGAGCCACTTCATTGCAGCCAAGATGGCCTCTCCCCCGGGGCTATAATTCAACAATGCGATGTTTACTGAGCCCAGTCTTCAAGCCATTATGTGAATGGGTCTGGAGGGGGCCGACCTTCCCCTACTGTTTAAACTATGGAGTGGAGTTGGTGTTTGCACGGCTGCGCTTTGCGACTCCACAGAGTCCTCATCAACTCTGTATGGGAATTAAACACCAGGTAGCAGGGTCTGAAACAACGAGGCGCCACACGGGAAGACCAAACCGGCTCGCCCTGGTCGATACGTTACCCAGCATAGACTAAATACGTCTCTGCATCACATTTAGCAGCGGATGAAGGGGTTGAGTTACACGCAGGACAGAAAGATAACAATTTACACCAACGACACACGCTCTGCAGACTTTATAGTCATAGGAATCCAGGCCGCCCCTCCCCCAACCCCAGTCCCACCCCAAAATGAAGTCAAGGGACACTTGTGACAGTCTATACTGGGAGAGATCTCCGAGCCAAAATTGTCAGCAGTGGTGCTCACAGTCGGGCTGATGTCATACGTCAGAAAACAAAGTGTCTTTGCACTAAAGTAAGACCAGAGGCAAAGACCTCTGGTCTTATCAATCCACTGCCATTTGTAAGACTCTTATGAGTGAAAACAGATTTGGGAGTAGCCGTCTATACAGTTTTGGAATATTAAGCTGTAAAAATACTCGACACCAGTACTGCTGGTGTTACACAGCAGGACACGGGCCCTCATTTGTGAGCTCCTACCCATACAGAGTTTTCATTGACTTTGATTGTTTGAGTTGATGCGCATTACCCTGACATTCCAGTGTGGAGAAAGGAGGGCCCGTAGTAAGTCCAGTGTGTGCCTAATTGAATCAAGAGGCAGTCCGCCTGCTGTAGTTCAAAGTCATAATGCAAGAAACAGATGCTTGCGGTTCCAGATAAAATTAAATTAGGATGGTATTGTTGGCCTAGCAGTCAATCAAGGCTGTGGTAAAAGCATAAAAAGGCCATCTCCTATTACCTTCCAGTGTCAGGACACAACAGATGATGATGGCCCTCTGGGGGACTGGGTAGCTTCTGTGGAATCGATGGTATTAAAAGATAAAGAACGTGTGTTGCCTTTGTCGATGCAGGTAATGCACCTTCTGTGTCACTTTGTGACAGCTCACAAAGTGATAGATCATGTCCATTCACGGGAGAGGCTCGGCGCTCGATAGCATGTCACAGCCGGATGGTAAATATACCTTGAAGTCATCGACACTTTAGCTTTCCAAACGCCTTTAGTATTACTGCTCATACACTCTATATCCAGCAGGTGAAAGTCTGCTGGCCAACGCAACTACGTCCCCTCATTCAAATAGGCTTTCCTTCATGTCACATCAACACAGATAGCTCAACCATGACAGCTCTGTTTATGGGAGGGCATAAATGTGAGAGACAAGATGGGATTTCTAGAGGGTGGGGGGGGGGGTCTATTCTCAGCAGCTAAAGCAATAGTCCTCCTCTATATGATTCACACCACAGATATAGTAGAGCAAAACATCTTATTTCAGATTGATGTATTGATAACGGATTCATCGTTTAAGTCGTTTATCAAGCAAAAATGCAAAGCATTCTGTTTCCAGGCTCTCAAAAGTGTAAATATATTTGGGTTTTGGGCTACTGGTCTGAGAAACTTAGCAAATTTAAGAAATAATATTGGGCCCAAAAGACATCTGCATATTTTAAAAAGATAATCAATAATGAAAATAACAATTAGTTGCAGTCTGGCAGTATTGGCTACTGCCTCATAGTGGAAGCTGGATGAATAAAACCAGAGGTAACTTGGTGGGGAATTCCCAATATGGTGCATTCTCCAAACTGCAGTAGATCTTTGGATGGAGGAGAAGGACATCTGAGAAGTGGATTCAATTTATTCCGCTTTCACATCTTAAAGTCCATGTATTTGCCAATGAACCCCACATTATTTTGATAAGGAAGTCAAAGAAAATAAATGGAGCGACACAAAGGACCAACAAACATGCAGTGAAAGCAGTGCAAAGTGTAGCCTGACTAAGAATGTTTAAAAGTTGGGGGGGGGGGGGGTCTATGAATAGCTTTGTTTCTATGGACAAACTTAGCCCGGCTTTACACAACAGCAGGTTCTGTTACTTTTAAAAGCGTCTTTACTGTACATGCTGATGTGACTGTGTGGTGTGGACCGGAATCTGTTATAACAGCCCCCGTGCATACGAGCAGCTCTGCAGACCACACTATTTACTGAACATAAACAGTAACATCAACACATGCCTGATGCTTTCTTTTTTTTTTCTTTATTAGGACATAAAAGCGCTGATTTGTAACTTCGACTTGACCTCTGAGGGAAATCAATTTTGTGTATGAATGAAACATCAAATCCACGGAGGTTAACACAGTGAAAAGCAAAGAGGAAGTGTGTGCTCACTTACAGTAACCAGCTGGCATGCGAGTATCAAAGACAGGATAAGTCCACAGATCGAGGTGGTCGGAGTGCCCATTTTCCACCAACCCAGCGCAGGCTGCGAATGCTGGGGCAAAGTGAAAAAGCGTAGTCCCTCACTCCTCCTGGCCGCTGGAGCGGTGTGTTGCCTGCACCTTTTTCTCACTCCTCTCCTCTGTGAAGAAACGCGACTGCTCCTCTGCGCCCCGCACCCGGTGGGACTTCATCAACAGGTAAAAGCGAACCTTTATCGCGCTAGTTGTGTTGTTTTTTTTGTTTTCTAGGTTGAGGGGGAACGTAAAATATCGACGCGGAGAAGCTCCAAAAATTGCACTCCGAAACTTGGGACTTGTAGTGTGGCTAAATGCAGTCCTGCAAAGTCCTATGCTGGAAAAGAAAGAGAGAGAGAGAGAGAGAGAGAGAGAGAGAGAGAGAGAGAGAGAGA